CGGGTGTTGGGAGGGGGTGTCACTGCTGTCATGAGCTGGGCGGCCTCAGCTGCAGTAACTGCACCCCCACCTGCACCCACAGCCTTCGTGATGCTTCACCTGGAGCTGCTGTGGCAGGTCCTTAAGACCAGTGGGACGTCATCATTAGGCTTCAGAGTTAACACCCCGATCCGGCAGGCTCCGTAGAAGCTTGGTGGTGCCTTTCCCCCCGCCCCAGCATGTTGAATAAGGAAGCCTGGGGGGTGCAGGGACCGTAAAGGATAGAGGGGCCGGGGGCTCCCGTGCTCTGCGCCGCCCCCCCCCCGGACAAGCCGTGAAGACTCCGTTCCCAGGACGATCCAGCGCCGCGTTTTCCCCGCAGCCGCAGCCACGTTCGAGTCCCGGCCAGAGAGGCCGCAAGAGCGGAGGTAAAACGCGGACCGGAGTAGCCGCAGAACGGAACGGAACCAGATTCCTCTACCGGGTAGACAGGGGCGCTCAGGCCCTCGCCAGGCGCTGGTTCCTCCCCTCGGGGAAACTGAGGCAGGAGGCACCGTCCTCAGCCACAGCCGGTTTATTTAACTTGTCGGGGACAGTGCTTGTCCCAAGGCTGTGACAARATGCACTGCGGTGTCGGGTGGCCTCCTTCCCCACGCACCCCCTGTCCTGCTCATGTGCAGAGTCCAGTTAAGGCSCCATGGTGCTAACACAGCTAATTACGCTCATGCCAGCAAGGGGAGTTGCCAGGAAGCAGCAGGAGGAGCCCAGACCACCACGGTCACAGCCTGGACCTGCACCACAGGCTGCACCTTGATGGGTTCCCCTCCACGCTCTGCATCCTGTGTAACCCTCCCAAGGAACGGGATCTTTCTGCCTAGCACAGGGAATTTAGGGAATGCCCATAGCGGTCGTGGTGTCTCTGTCACGGAGATCCATCATCTGCCAAGATGCTTCTGGGCCTTGAAGATGACTGGGGTGCTTAAAGATGCTGTGATCCATAAAGATGCTCCTGGATAACATGCTCTAGATGATGTGCTTGAGCAGAGGGAGGACTAGACATTCTCCAGAGGTCCCTGCCAGCCAAAAAAAAAAAAAAAGTGGGATCCTCTACTAGGGAATCCCAAAGCCTGGATCCAGACCCAGGAGCCTGGATGCAGCTGGAGACCATGGACGTGGTTGAAGGTGGGAGCTCCCGGAGGCGGCACCAGCGGGCGCCACTTTTATGAATGAACCCGCCGGGCGCCAAACGGGCCGCCGGCCCCGCCCTCCCGCGTGACGTCACAATGCGGGGCTCTTCCCCCCCCCGCCGCGTCACCGCTCAGAGGCTCCCCCGACACCCCCCCCCCGCGCGGGCTGCGCCCCCTGCCGGGCGCCGCCGGGCGCTGCAGGCGGCGCCGCCGCCGCTTTGGGGCGAAAGAGTCCGTAAAACGTTAAAAAA